GGGTCTTACTGATTAGAATCGGGTTTTGCGGTGTGTTGTGTCTACAGTACTGTCTACATATGTGTATATATATATATGTACAAACATACATATCTACATACATGCATGCATGCATGCATGCATGCATGCATGCATACATACATACATATTATACATACATGTATATACATACGTATATATGTATATACAAACAAACATACATACATACATATACACATACATATATACATACATATATACATAATATACATACATGTATATACATACGTATATATATATATATACACATATACATATACATATACATATATATATATATACATACATATAAAATAAATGTATTTACTTATCTGATTATCTATATGTAGTGTGTGTGTGTGTGTTCGCATGCATACTTCGAGACCAAGACGAACTTCTGTGGGCTTCCAGGATCCTCCAGGTAAAGTTTGATGTACATGCATGCATACGCATACACGAATGCCTATTGTGTTGCATGTGACTGTCTTTCTTGGGTATCGAAAAGCATCTGTGTGCTGGGTGCGTGTGCGCGTATTGTGGCTGCATGCCGCTTGCAGCATGCACGTGAAAAGATACACCGAAAATAGCTGTGTATCGATCGACTTCTACTGCAGCCACCTACCCAACTCAGCCTACGTGTAGCTATCCAGATGCTGTTGCACCGGTCTTCTAGCGTAAGCCTTTGCCAAGCGCGAAACTGCTGAAGCGTCTTCTACACGTGGACTCAACTGGAAAACTCAAATGCGACATGATTTTTCGGTTCGGCTGCATGGGGTGACTGGCTTCCATGGGGTGGTGCTGCAAAGCGGAATCTAGTGTGGACCAACACATCATACAGATAATCGGAACCACTGCCTGGAGTCCTCGTCTATCGCACTTCCGTTGAAGCTAGCCTGTAGAGAGCACCAACCGTTGACTAAACCCTGAACCGTTGGTCATGGGAAACCCCAATATCTCATAACTCCCCCTAGATCGGAGTAAACGCTACGCTACAAGACGGATTCTTCGCTCGCTCAGGGGCGCATCAGCTCGTACCTGAAAGTCGGGGAGGAGGCCATAAAGAAGCTTGAAGCTTCCGGATGAGTCCCCAATAGCAATAATCAACAGCGAGGAAGACAAACTCGCACAGAAGAAGTTCATCGAATCACATGGTACTGAGTCCAATCGTGCCCAAGGTCACAGCGCCAGATCGTCGGCTGTCTGCCACAAATCCCATCTTGCCCAGAAGCCCGAAACACCGACAAGCACGTCTGACCCTCATGGCATGGCCCCTAAACCTGAAACCTAGAAACTCGGAACCTAATGCCCGACCCTAAACCGTCTGAAGCTACACCACAAAACGCCCGAAACCACAGCGACGGCAACTTAAAGTAACCGCCGAACAAAGACCCTGGAGTAAAGGGGTCGGATTAAGTAGACATCCCCCTCTTCTTAGTCTCAAGGCCCTTATAGGCCCTTTCTTGTAAACCCTTAAACCCCAAAAAGCCGGAAGGGAGCGACTGGATCTCCGAGAGGTTCTTCTTCCCAACCTGCAGCTTCCGGAGAGTCGCTTTCAGGGAGCGGGCTTTTCAGGTGCACCGTAAAGGGTTCCGTTCTATGGGCTCCTTTAAAGGGGCCCCTTTACCGGGGAGTTCCCTTAAGGGGCTTGAGTAGTTTTTCGAATATGTCCGTGGTTATATTAGGCTTCTATACTAGGCTCTTGGGACTTCAGGTGCTCAGGGCTTCAGGGCTTCAGAGCTTCGGCCTGGAGGCTCTGGAGATAGAAGTTGGGCGGAGTTCACTTTTGAGAGCTTCTGCATGCCACACGAAATCTAGATGAATCTGTTTAGCCTAAGGCTCGCGGGGCATCGGAGGAAAAGAAGGAACTAAGTCGCGGATTTTTCAGGTGCAGGCACACGTTCGTTTAAGGGCGCAGGGGTTTCAGCTTGCGGCCGCATGCAGGGTCTCGAAGGCATAGTGTTTCATGATTACCGTTCAGGTGTATCTAGAGTACAGCGCTCAGGGATTGAAATGTGGGTGGGTTTTGGACCAGAGGCCTAGACAGGAATGCGGCAGAAGCGTCTGGTTTTGCGTTTGGGGCTTCAGGTTTTTTGGGGGGATTTGGAGGCCTCGTCGATCTTCCCGGCCACTTCCAGGTCCAGCTTGCCCCACTTGTCCACCGCCAGGCGCATGAAGCCCTGGCAAGCGCTGTGGGATTTAGGGCTTAGCATTGAAGGGCGTGTTTGTATTAAGAGCGCCGCTTATGATTTAATCTGCAGCGTGTACAGCAGGAGTCGTGTCCCCGAGATGAACGCGGCCTAGCTCATGGCAACGCGGCCAAAGACATGATCCAGACATTTCTAACAACATTGCGAACTTCCAGTGGCGAGGATCTGACCCTTGAAGCAACAGTGTTGTTCGTCAAAGCCTAGCCACATGGAAACACTTCGCCACATCAAGCCGATCGTTCGGCGGCTGTACAAGTTGCTCACAAGACTGTTTGGCGATGTACTCTTCCTGCTGCTTTGGTGTGTGTCACCACGAAAAACTGCTGTGTCTGGATGGTAGTTCGAAAAATAATCGTGGGTAGTCCGCTGCATGTACACACGTCTCTCAACCCATTAAGATGCCTGATGCGGTGAGGCGCGCAAAAGGCTTGGGTTAAGGGCGGGCAGTGACCCGTCCTTCGGGACACCAGGTCCCACTCCGGCATCAAGACTCAAAGCATTTGGGCTGTGGTTTGGGTTTTTCAAAGTTTTGCCTTGACTGCTGGGATGACGGAGGGCTCATGCACCTTTGCATCGGAGTGTTGCGGGGAACGATCGAGGCAATGCTCAAGTGCGTGCAAGAGCAAGACTGTTTGTGGAGACCGGTGCGTCATGATATGATCAAGGAACTGGACTCAACTAGCACTGAGCTTCCGCCTGCACCATGCGGATGGAGGCATTTCGAGCCGCCAGGACCTGTGCAAGGCTTTGTTCGGGCCTACGGCATAAACAGGTGGCGTGCGGGGACAGACTATGGGAATGGAATGATGATCCTTGAACCGGTGTTGCATGACCACACACACACACGCCCCTAACCCTAACCCTTTCAAACTCAGACTCGTAATCGATGATCCCATACCACAGGCTCAGGGGCTCTGCGTCTCGAACGAAGCTTTTAACGCTGAACCGGAAGCTCCAACCCTTCGGTTCAACCCTGCAAATGTTTGTTACGCCAAGGTCGGCTCACCATAAGCGGCGCGGTCTTTGCGCTGCCGCAGGAAGCGGAAAGACTCCCTGGTGGATGCCAGCTCTTCCTTTGTAGCCTGGGCCAAACCGTAGATTTGGGGGTGAAGGCAGTGTTCCGGTCTCTGCAGCATGGCGGAAGGCACCGAAAGTAACTCTGAGGCTTTGGGTTTCGGGACTTCAGCCAACGGTTGTGCCGGAGCATACAAGATCACACGGGATGTGTCAAAAAAAGCCCGAATCTGAAAGCATGAGCTTGAGCCCCTGAAACTCTTGAAACACCCCATGGTACCCAATTCCGAAGCAACGGGATGGACACTGCCTAAACCCTAAACCCTAAACCCTACTGCCTCGTGAACTGTGATCTGCTCTTCGATGCCCATGCGAGACACGACCTGGAGCCAGGATCGAAGCGCACCCCGTCTGCTTGCAGATGATAAGATTACCGGTCGATAGATAAGGGGTATGTAGCTAGATGGCAAGGTAAGGTAAGATCAGATCCGATCAGATAAGATAAGATAAGATAGATAAGATGGACAAGATATTTAAGATAGATAAGATAGGTAAGACAGATGGCTACATAGACAAACAGATAGATAGGTAGATAGATCGACAGATAGAAAGATAGATAGGTAGGTAGGTAGGTAGGTAGGTAGATAGGTAGATAGATAGACAGACAGATAGATGGATAGAGATA